TTAAATAAAAATTTATCAATTGAGATAACTTTATTTTCAATTCACCTTCTTAATTTTATTATTTTATTAACAGAACAATTTAAAAATTATTTGATTTGTCTCAAACCAAATTTAAAATAAAAATTATTTTTTTTACATTATTTTCTAACTGAATTTTGATTATTAGTTTTGCTTTTAAATGTATAATAAAGTTGAATGTTGCTGTCTCTTTTGCAATTATATTATTAGAGAATCAAAGGAATACGATGGACGATTCCCCGACAATAAAATTATATGGATACAAAAAAATATTATGAATATTATGATTAACTGTTAGAAAGCATCCTGTCGGGGAAACGTCCTGTCTGGAGAGTTTGGTTTGGTTTTATATAAATGGTTTGAATTACAGAAACAAACATTATTATTAGAAAATCCTTGTGACAAATGATAATTTCATATTAACAGACGCGAAACGCGTATTTGATTTATGATCATGTGTAACTAGTACAAATTTAGAAACTATCTTAAATTAAAAAATTGATTGGTGTGTAATGTTACATTCCGCATTTCCCGCTTTGGAAATAAATGGTCTTAGATATTTGGCTTTTCAATATACAACTGTGAATAATAAACTGTAAATAATTTCACATACTTCACTTCGTGTTCTTCTTTGAAGACATTGTACTGTGCCTGCTGAAGAAGTAATTGAAGAGGTATTTTCAACAATGCAATTATCGTCATTCATAAATTTAAAACAATGGATTGTGCAACTGTAAATTATATTACTTTTTTGTTATCGTTATTAATATTAATTTCTAGTGTTTCATTCACAAATTCACAGAATATTCAAATAAACTTTGTTCAAACAGAAATCCTATTAATATGACATTAAAGAATTTAGGAATCCGGTTAATTCGAATCAAATTCAATCAAGTCACAAATCGAATCCAATTTTTTGAATCCAATTTTTTGAGTTCGAATCGAATTGGATCACTTTAAAATTCAATTTGTTCTGAGCCTTAGTTTAAAGAGTTCTTTTGGCTTTCGCCAATTAAACTAATTTTTATCTCTACGAATTAATAAGAACGATGCTTATTATTGTCAAAAGAAATTGGACCAAAGATTGTTTGGCTTCACTAATATTGATAAAAAATAAAAAAATGGGTTGAAAATGATTAAATAAAAGATTCTCTACCAAAAAATAAAGCCACAAATATCCTATAACAAAATAGATTAGAAATTACGATACTGTCTAAAATAATTTTAATTTATTATTGCTCCGATCCAAAATTTTTGGGGTCTGATTCATTTCGTCGACAATCATTTCGTCGACAATCATTTCGTCGACAATCATTTCGTCGAAAGTTCATTTCGTCGAAAGTTCATTTCGTTGAAAGTTCATTTTGTCGAAAGTTTGTTTCGCCGAAAGTTCATTTTGTCGAAAGTTCATTTTGTCGAAAGTTCATTTCGTCGAAAGTTCATTTTGTCGAAAGTTCATTTTGTCGAAAGTTTGTTTCGCCGAAAGTTCATTTTGTCGAAAGTTTGTTTCGCCGAAAGTTCATTTTGTCGAAAGTTCATTTTGTCGAAAATTATTTTGTCGACAGTTCATTTCTACAACAATTCATGTTAATTTGCATGTATTATAGTGTTACCAATTATGTTTGAATTAATTGATGATAACAATTGTTTATGCGGATCAGAATGAATAGGTTTACTAACATATTAGTTTAATTAGTGGATAATTTTGGTTTAAAAAGATAATAAATGTTTATTTATTTTATTTAGTCAAGGGTAATTAAAGATTTAGAAGAGAACGGTCATGTGAGCTATGTTTTAACACAAAATTTTAGTCCATGTAATCATTGATTGTCCAATCAAAATCGTGAATTTGATAACGTAAATGAATTATTTATTTATGAGAGTTAATAAAAATATTCGACAAATGGTTCAAAATTAAGAAATTGGAAGAAAGCATGCAACAAACCTTCAAAATAGTCTAATAAATTAAATTGTACTACTCGAAGATGTATTTAAAGGGTTGGTTTTCGACTTGGTCGAAAAACAAACATTCGTTTTGCAATCTTGATTAACATTTACTTTGATCAAACCCGTCTATATAATTATTTGAACAATTGATAATAATAAAAACGTTAATTAAATATATTTTACAAACAGCTTCATAGATCTCGACTACTTTAATACTTACTTCAATCAAACCCGCCTATATAATTATTGATAAACATTCATTTTGCAACCTTGATTAACATTTACTTTGATCAAACCCGCCTATATAATTATTTGAATAATTGATAATAATAAAACGTTAATAAATATATTTTACAAACAGCTTCATAGGTCTCGACTACTTTAATACTTACTTCAATCAAACCAGCCTATACAATTATTGAATAATGATAAACATTCATTTTTCAAACTTCATAGATCTCGATTAACACTCAAACCCGCCTATATAATTATTTGAATAATTAATAAAGCGCTCATTAAATATATTTTACAAACAGATTCATAGATCTTGACTTTTAACACTTATCTTGATACAAGATATTCAATAATTGATCAGTATATTTTACAAACTTGCTTTGGAAGCTTGTATGTCGTCATACATCTTGTATTTAATGGTCTACTTTTCTTTGAATTTTATTTTTTTTTTAGATTACACAACAAAATTATAGAATAAATTTAATCCAATGAAATGGTTGGTATCCCATATTTTGCACAACTTGAAAAAAAGTTGATATATAAGTCATAAAATTGGTTTAATAGTATCGACTGAGGGAAAAGCATGCAATGTGAAGTACCGGGTATAGTCCCCTGTGTCCGGCTCCCTTAGGTGCAATGCCTCACTTTGGACTGGCTGTAAAGTCCTGCATGTGGGGGAGGTGGAACTGACGCGGGTGGCTCTTGTTGGGTGTATTGACCCTTCGTGACATGACCCTCCTTTTTGTTAATTTTTATTATTTATTTTATTTAGTTAATTAAAAGGAAACATTTAAAAAATTAGACAATTTTCGCTAATTGATTTGATTGGTCACATTTGTAATATATGAAGATCCATCAATCAATTATATTATAATTATATAGTAGCAACGACAACAACGAATCATTGTTTTTTGAGGATGATTAAGATCCAGTTGGTATAAGAGTAATCGAAGTAAGTTATAAGGACAAGATCTATGAATAAAATATTCTAACAAACGTTTTATTAATTATTCAAATATTTAATAGTTTATGTAGGAGTAATTGAAGTTTTAAGGACAAGATCTATGAAGTTTGCAAAATATTCTAATGAACGTTTATCAACTATTTAATAGTTTGTGTAGGAGTAATCGAAGTAAGCTGATCTATGAACAAAATATACTAACGAAGGTTTTATCAATCATTCAATAGTTTATACAAATTTATCCTTTATTTAACTTATATTTAATAACATCACTATAATCATTTACATATGTATATAGGAAGGAAGAAATGTACTTGACGATCTAAACAAAATGTCGAAGAAATTAGTTTAATAAATTAAATTGTGCTACTTGAAGATGTATTTAAAGGGTTGGTTTTCGACTTGGTCAAAGGACAACTCTCTTTCTAACTCTTCTCTTGACCATATCTCTCGATATAACTTCGAAACTACCTTGATATAACACGAAATGATTGTTGATGAAGTAAACGTGACCAATTTAAGAGACAAATTTATTTAATAAAACAAAAAATGATTTTTTTGAATGTTCTAGTAAATTTTCCATTGTTGTCATATCATCCCGTTGTTGGTTCAACATTACTCAAAGTTTAATTTAGTCGTTTTCTTACGTTAAATATCGCATTATGAAATAATTAATAATTAATAAATATGACAAAACGTAACACGAATACAAATACAAATAATTCATACGAATAGTATTGATCGGAATATTTTATAATAGTAGATAACTAAATCAATAGAAAATAAAGAATTGGTTGAATTTTGATTATTCATAATAATAATGTCTTTTATTTTTAAAAAAAAATACAATTAATAATGTACAGTATTTAATAAAATAGCAATACTAAAATGAAATGCTATGAGCCATTCCCTGAAGAAAGTCCATAAGTGTTCTATTATCACGGTCATTGAACACTACCTGAATTCGTGCTTCACGTTCACGGTCCTGTTTTTTTTGTAAAGGCTGTGGTCTTCCTCGTAAAATCGATTCTACATCAAGCTCAACTCGATTTTGTTCTTTCTGCAATTCCTTTATGATTTTGTAAACACCTAAATGTGCAGTACCTACTAAGGCACTCCATCTTTGATGCCAAGCCTCTACAGAATTTCGAGTTCGTGGAAATGCATAATTGATATTATCAACAACTGACCAGAAGTCAGGTGGAAATAATGGTGTTGCACAAATTACATTCCCATGTCTTAATGTGCGTCTTGTTCTACCATGCACATACAGTGCAGAAGCTCTATAATAGGAACAAATGTTGCCTTTTTTTAAAAGGGTGTAGATCACCCAAAAAAAATTTTAAAAAAAAAGTACACTGTAATTTTGATAGCTAATGACCTTAACTTTAAAACTTATGGTTTAGAATTTTATTTTATATATAAATTTTTTGTGCCACACTGTTTCAAAGTTTTACCATTTTAATATAGAGATCCA